TTAGGTTAAGTATGTCCTCTTAGTGGATTGGTCTTTTATGATTATGTAATGTCCCTCTGTGAATCTCCCTGGTAATTTTTTTTTCCGCTCTGAAGTCTACATTATCTGACACTAATAGAGCTACTCCTGATTTCTTTTCACTAATGTTTGGGTAGTATATCTTTCTGTATCCTTTTACACACAGCCTACTTGTATCTTTATACCTGAAATGAGTCTCTGGTAAACTGTATATACACTGGGTCTTTTTTTTTTTAACAGCCTGCAAATGTCTGCATTTAAATTGATATATTTAGACCACTGACATTTAAGTATTGCTCTTCTAGGGCTTAGGTATATTATTTTATTTTTTGTTTTCTCTTTCTTCTCTTTTTTAAATGACACATAATTGACATATAACATTGTATTAGTTTAGATGTACAACATGATTTTTTAAATTTATATATATCTGAAAATGATTACTAGAAATAAGATGAGTTAACATCCATTACCATACATAGTTACAATCTTTTTCTTGTGATGAGAACTTTTAAGATTTACTTTCCTAGCAACTTCTAAATATACAATACAGTACATTTAGGTATAATCATTGTGGTGTACATTATATCTCCAGGACTTACCTATCTTACAACTGGAAGTTTGTGCCTTTTGAACAGCTTCACTCATTTTGGCCAGCCCCTGCCTCTGGTAACTACCAGTCTCTTCTCTATCTGAAGGTTTTTTTTAGATTCCAATATAGGTGAAATCATACACTATTTGTGTTTCTCCAATTTATTTCACTTAGCAGAATTGCTCTCAAGGTCCATCTATGTTGTCACAAATGGCAAGGTTTCCTTCCTTTTTATGGCTTAATAATATTCTACTATATATATATTTATACACACACACACATATATATACATATACATGTATGTATGTGTATGTGTATCTATCCATCCATCCACACACACACCACATTTTCTTATCCATTCATCCATTGATAGATACTTAGGCTGCTTCTGTGTCTTGGCTACTGTATATAATGCCACAAAGAACACAGGGGTGCAGATAGATTTTTCAGTTAATATCTTCATTTCCTTCAGATAAATGACCCAGAAGTGGAATTACTTGATCAAATGGTAGTTCCATTTTAAAGTTTTTGAGGACTCTCCATATCATTTTCTGTAGTGACTGGGCCAACTTACACTCACACCGAAGGTGCATAAGGGTTCCCTTTCACCACATCATCACCAACACTTGTTACTTCTTGTCTTTTTGAGTACAGTAATTCTCACAGGTGTGAAATGATATCTCGTTGTTGTTTTGATTTGCATTTCTGTTATCATTAGTGATGTCGATCATCTCTTCATATACCTGTTGGCCACTGGTATGTCATCTTTGGAAAAATGTCTTTCCAGAGCCTCTGCCCATTTTTATTTGGATTATTTTTCTATTAAGATGTATGGATTTCTTACATATTTTGGATATTAACTCTTTATGGCATATGGTTTGAAAATACTTTCTCTCATTCTGTAGGCTGCTTTTTAAAATTTGGTTGATAGTTTCCAGTTAGTTTGATGTAGTCCCACTTATTTTTGTTTGCTTTTGGCATTAAATGTATCCTTGCGAAGAATGATATCAAGGAGCTTAACACCTGTCTTTTCTTCTAGGAATTTTATGGTTTCAGTTCTTATATTCAAGTTTTTGATCCATTTTGAGTTAATTTTTTTGTATGGTGTAAGATTGTGGTCCAGTTTAATTCTTTTGCATGCGGCTGTACAGTTGTACAGCCCTGATACCATTGATTAAAGAGAATATCCTTGTTTACTATCCTCAGCTCCTTTGTCATGAATTAGTTGGCCTTGGTTGAATGGATTTATTTCTGGGCTGTCTATTCTGTTTGATTGGTCTTTGTGTCTGTTTTAATGCCTACACCACAGTTTTCATTACTGTAGTACCCAGGAAGCTTGATGCCTTCAGTTCTTCTTCCCCAAGATTGCTTTGGGTATTTGGGGGGGGGGGGCTTGTGTGTTTCCATACAAATTTTAGGACTATGTGTCCTATTTTCATGAAAAATGCCATTGGAATTTTGATAGGGATTGCACTGAATCTGTAGATTGCTTTTGGTAGTATGAGTCTTAACAATATTAATTCTTCCATCCCATGAACATGATTTATCTTTCCATTTATTGTACCTTATTCAATTCCTTTTCAATTTCATGTAGTTTTCAGTGTACAGGTCTTTCAACTATTTAAATTTACTTATAGATTTTTTATTCTTTTTTATTCAACTTTAAATAGGATTGTTTTCTTAATTTCTATTTCTGATTATTCAGTATTAGAGTACAGAAACACAAATTTTTGAAAACTGATTTTGTATCCTGAAAGTCTATAATGAATTTGTTTCTTAGTCCTAACAGTTTTTTGGTGGAGTCCTTAGGGTTTTCTGTATATAATATTGTGTCATCTGGAAATCATGACAATTTTACTTCTTCCCTTCTGATCTAAATGACTTTCTTTTTCTTGTCTAATTGCTTTGGTTAGAACCTCTAATACTATGTTGATTCAAAGTGGCAAAAGTGGGCATTCTTGTCTTGTTCATCATCCTAGAGGAAAAGCTTTCAGCTTTTCACTGTTGAGTATGATGTTAGTTGTTGGTTTGTCAAACATGGCCTTTATTTTGTTGAGATACATTTCCTCTATACCTTCTTTGTTGAGGGTTTTTATGAAAAATGGATGTTGAATTTTGTCAAATGCTTTTTCTGCATCTATTGAGATAATATTATCTTTATCTTTCATTTTGTTAATGTGGTGTATCACACTGATTAATTTGCAGATGTTTATCATCTTTGCATCTGTGGAGTAAATCCCACTTGATCATGGTGTATAATTCTTTCAGTGGAGTTTTGAATTCAGTTTGCTCATATTTTATTTTTTTTTGAGTTTTTGCTTCTATGTTTATCAGGCATATTGGCCTATAATTTTTTTGTAGTGTCCCTGTCTGGTTTTGGCATTAGGGTAATGCTGGCCTCACAGAATGAGTTTGGAAGTGTTCTTGCATGTCTTCATTTTGGAAGACTTTGAGAGGAATTGCTATTAATTCTTCTTTAACTGTTTGGTAAAATTCACCAGTGAGTTCATCTGGTCCTGGATTTCTGTTTGTTGATAGGTTTTATATTACTGATTCAGTCTTCTTATGTAATAATCTTACTGAGATTTTCTATTTTTTTTCATGATTCTGGTTAGATACATGTTTCTAGGAATTTATTCATTTCTTCTAGGTTGTCCAGTTTGTTTGCTTATTTGAGGTTTTGATTGGAGTTGTATTTAACTATATTAGTTACTAACTGAATGTGTTTGAATATACTTATGTCTTTGGAGCTGACTCAGTTGTGCCACAGATTGTGTGATTTTTTTTCATGTTTTTCAAATATTCTCTCCCTCTTCTCATTTATGCTTCCACTTGTTCTAACTACTGCCATGAGCTTTTTTGTGCTGCAATCAGAAAAAAAAAAAAACTTGTAAGCTTCTCAATCTTGTAAGAAATAAGTTCCAAATGAATGAAGTATATAAGACTACTTTAGCACATGGGCTTTGTGGTATCTCTTTTGGCTAACTGAAAGTCTTTCTTGATTTCTGTTTTCAATCATGTTTAGTTTAAGTCGCTAGATAAATGCTCATTAGAAAAAAATGAGTTATTTCTGTACCTTATGTTCATATTATTTTACTAGATTTTTGTTGCTTATTAAATAGCTGCAGAATATACCAATGACATACAGTGCAATCTAAAGATAATTATAATCTTGTATAAAATGTCACTGACCCATATACTGCAAACCAGTCACTTGTACATTTTAAAATAGATAAAATGGTTAACTTTACATTTTGTAAGTTTTATCTCAACAAAATAGTCACTAACCCTATGTTTAATATAAATTACTTTAAAAATTACGTGAAAGATAAAATATAAAGAAAAATGTATGTTAAAACTTTGCTTTCAGGTGGAATGGAAGAGTTTACAGCAACCAGTATTCCATCTTAGAACAAACAGAAATCTGGATAAAATTTTTAGAAATAATCTGTTCCATTTTAATTACACATGTATTATGTCATACACAATGCATATAACATGATTGTATACATATACAACATAATACCACTATACACCTTCTAGAATGAGTAAAATGGTGGTGGCAGGGGATAACTGTTGGCAAGGAAGGGGATAAACTGGAATTCTCATGTACTGATAATAAACATGAAAATTGTTTCAGTTACTCTAGTGAAATCTTTGGAGGCACCTACTAAAGTTGAATGTATGCATAAGTGGATAGGTATATTCAGAAAGGATATGTAGAATATTTCTAAGAGCCCCAAACTGGCAACAACTGAAAAGTCCATCAGTGACAAATAAATTGTGATATATATATATATAAAAAATGGAATATATGATAAATATACATAATAATATGGGCACATTTCATAAAAGTTATGTTAAGTGAAATGCATTCTTTTCCAAGATCAAATAAAACTGATTTGTAGTATTTAGAAGTCAGGAATGTTTATCGTTTGCAGGTATGAGAAAGTGGGATAAGGGGGCCTTTTGGTGGGGCTAGTAAAGTTTAGTTTCGTTATATGGATCTGTTTACTGAGTTGAATATTTACAGTATGTATATTCTTCTAAATGTGTGTTATACTTTACCATTTACTTTAAAAAGTACACACTCATTTTACTATGATAAAAACAAAATTTGGCCCATGAGAAGCACATCTGGTGATCTAATCATACTTTTTGTTGAAACTTCATGCTTTGGGACAGGAGTCTGTAATGACAGCTAAATAATTTGCAAAGGCTTCAGAAAAAAGGGGTAAATAGGTGATAGAAACATAAATTTATCATTGAATTGTCAACAAATAGATGTATAAACTCTAAATAGATATATGTTTTGGTAGGCACTCTAAACTGTAAAGGAACTTAAGAGATTCTTCCCCTACCCGAGTTGCGAGATATTTGCTTTTTTCTGAGTAAAAGACTTTCCTAAGCACTTAAGCTCAATTCTTTGATAATCGGGGGTGGGGGGGATGAGGGACTATATACTCTACAGATCTTTAAAGTACTATTTATTTAAATCCTTTCTAAAGGTATTGTTTTTTAAGATCTCATAAAATTCCTGACCTTAGTCCTCTTTGTGATATGTCACACACCCTGTCACATCAAGTTACCTTATATTGACTAAACAGAAGAAAGGTTATAAACAGCATGCATACCACCTGACATAAAAATATTTGCCAGCTATTTCTTCTGCTTAAATGAATGTGTTCCAAATACCTAGACTATTAGGTTGGAAAATCTATAAAGAAAATAATGAAATAGTCATTTCTATACATTATTATAGTGCATACATTTATGAAGAACCTAATTCGAGATAAGGTAGGAGTTTTACTAGAAACATGTTACTCACATTTTCTCTTCTGACATTGCATATCAATGTATGTGCATAAACTTGTTTTACTTCCTTCTTAGAGGTAGTCTTACCAGGAACATAGTAACTAACTTTAGCCAGAAAAATAAAAGAACTAATTAAATTTTAACAGAGAATTCATCCTGGAAGTATTTATGGTGCTTGAAGATCTTAATACTTTTATTTCTGATTACTAGGGCAACGTGAAATGAGAAGTTCATAAGGATTTCAGGCAATTTGAGAGAAAAAGGGTTTTTTCTGACTGAAGAGAATCACTCTTCACACACTTAATAGTCTTCATTAATGTAAATTATTTAGCCACATCATAAGAAAATTTACTATAACAATGCTTAGTCCTTTGTCTCATATTTTGTTACTATAAATAGATTTAAATCAAAATACCCACTGAATGAACAAGTCAGTTTCCTTTAACTCTAGAAAAATTGCTGAAGTTTGTCATTTAATAGGTAAAGGAACTGTTTAGCTCAAAGTCTAAAGTTACAGAAATTCAGTTCCCCGTTAGTACTGTAATCTGCCAGCTCACTGCTCAAATTATTATAAAGATTGTATGACAGTGCTCAAAGCTACTTTCCTGCATTATGCTTTGAAAATGGTGTAAGTACTCGCTTTGGGCACTGTAAGCATAACATGGTAAAGATGACAAAGAAAACCTTCTCACTTTATTTTATGCCCACCCCACCAAAAAACCAAAAAAACCCACAGAAAGCAAAACAACTCCAAAAATGAGTAACAAGCAACATTAGGCAGTGAACAATATGGGAAATTACAGTGGACTTGAAATAAAAACCAGAATGGTGAAGTGGTTCACAGTATGAGTGAGATTTGGAACCAAACAGGAATGGGTTTAAATTCTGCTTCTGTCACTTTTGAGTTTCTGTCCTTACTTATAAATGGGGAAACTAATACTTAATTCTTAGGGTTGTTTGGTTGTTGTAAATATGAAACATGACAGGTACCACAGAGCTTAGCACTGTCCTGGGTGACTAACATTTGCTAGACTATTGCAATTTTTATCTTTGATGAAGATTGGTTCCTTTATTCTCCTACCCTGATAATATTCCATTTCTAGATTCCACACTGTAGAGAAGTTAACATATGCATTGAGGAAAAAAGGACATATGTATAATAGTTGCTCTGTACTATACTTTCCTCATCTATAAAATAGGTATGTTGTGAGACTGCTGTGACCATTAATGAGGTAATGCACAGAGTGTTCAACACACTCTCCAAAATATAGTGTGCACTTGATAAATGGTGGCTAAAATCATCAGACTTGGATTCTGGCTCTAGTTGTTGCACTTAACACTATGTAACTATGTAAGCAAGTCACTCAGCCTTACTGAATTTCATCCAAAAAATGGGCATAACATCTGTCCTGTTTATCTTTTAGGATTGTTGAGATAATAAAATTATGCAGGCAAGCACTATGAATACTGCAAAGCCTGTAAAAATGGATGGTGTTATTATGGTTCTGATGGCAGTTTAGAGGAGGTTAAGTAGTGTAAAAGTGGGACTTTAAAATATTTTTTAATATAATCAGTAAACTTGTGCTTGACTTTTGTTAGTAACACATAGGTGATGAACATTATAGAAGCACCATTTTTCTCTGCTGAGATTAGCTGCTTGCACTCAGGATCAGAAAAGCTGAAGCAAGTATTTTGACTAGTTCATCTCAGGAATAAGATTAACACTTAAATTTATGTAGATTGTAGTACAAAGTATATGACAAGTGTATGGAAGGTTTTTGTTGAATAGAAAGGCCTCCTTTGGCCTCAAGAATGATATGTTATCCAATTAATTACAATTTGTAAAGCCCTTTAAAGATGAAAAACACTATAAATGCTTAGCATTTATTGCTACTAACATCTAACAAGGTTAAGTTCGCCTTCATAAGGAACTACTGGTTGATGAGTTAATTGTTAAATAACCTGACATACCACAAATGGCAGATGCTATATCATGTGAGTAATTTCATACTATAGCAATCATTAGAATAGCTATTAAATTGTTGTAACTACTGATTGATTCTTCTTCTGAGGTTATTGTTTCAGAAAACTGAGGCACTGAAAAGTGAAATAATTCATTTGATTCTACACTTCAGGCTGGCACAGAATAAGGCCCAAGCTTCTGGAAAACTCCTGAAGTGCTGTTCAGTATGGTAACTAGTACTATGTGTAGCTATTGAACTCTTGAAATATGGCTAGTATGATTGAGGAACTAATTTTTAAATTTTACTAAAAAAATTTTAAATTTAAAAGCACTCAATTTAGTAATTGTAAATTTTTAAAATAATTTATAGGCCAACGTGGGTACCTGAAATTATGAAATTAAATAGTAAGTATTTCCAATGAAAGTTTAACATCCAATTTGTGATGTACTTTAAACTCTCAGTAGAAAAATTAAGGTTATGTATGTGGTTTGGTTTGTATTTCTGTTGGACAACATTGCTATATAGGTTCAAAGGCAAGCAATAAATCATCTATGATATGGACCCTACTTCCTCATTTATCCTTCTGGAGAAGGATATATGAATGTTAAAAATTCAGTTCTGGGAGTTGTAGAATCAGGAACAGTTTACAGGTCTTTCTTTGATATATGGAGACTTGGCCTTCAGGAACCATAACCTCAGATCACCTCAGTGATGTTTTGTTAAATGATTAACAACCAGCTCTTCAAAAACCAGACCATAACAAAAGCCCCACACTCACCATCAACCAGTTTCCTGATCCTGTGGTGTGAGAGACTGTGGCCAGTTTTGAGGCACCAACGTGATGTCCCTAAACTTGGAGTTGGGAAGGGATAATCTCATTTGGCACTTGAAAGGCCAAAAAGCCAGCCCTGGTGCATCACTGGAGTTCCTAACATCTACATTTCTTGAACTTGTATGTGTCTGCAGTGGGGGGCTGAAGTAGATCACCTTTAAACTAAATTCTACCCCACAGCAAACTGTAGGATGATCAGATCTGGGAATGTAAATCATTTTATTTTCTTTAAGCTCTTGGAATATAAGTCACTATAAAAACCCTGATTCTCCTTGAGAAATAGATTTACGGTTATATAAAGCCATTTTATAAACTATAAGAATGGTTAAAAACACATAAAGATACTACTTAATTTTGATAAAGTAGGTGCGTGATTTTTCACTCATAAACTTTATGGACCAACTATGTAACTTTTTTTTTTTTGAGTAGCGATTTCTTGGGGACATGGTAAGAGTATCCGAAGATTACCACCGGAATGGATATGAATTCTGACATGTTATATAGAGAATTTTATACAGGTAAAATACCTGCAAAAGGTCCAAAATTTTGTCAGCTAATATATGTGAAACCATTCTGTTTATTTAGAAATTCTTTAGTTTCTGTATTAGCGCCTCTGCTTGGACACCTTGATGTTACACCTCTTGCTAAATAAATTTCAGTATAAAGTAAGTCATCTTTTAAAGGTACTATTTAAGAGAACTTAATTCAAAAGTATTTTTGAATAAAGCAAGCCCTCTCTTAAGAGAATATTCAGATTTATTTTCAGTATGGGTTTCTACTATTAGGTGGATATGCACAAATGATTTTTTTTCAGAGTTGTATGTTAATTTGGGTTCTGTCTAATCATATGCACAGAATTTTAGTGCTGAAAAGACTGATCCTCGTCTAGTTCTAGGTCCTTATTTTATAGATGAGCCAACTGAGAATCCCCCTAAAGTGACTTAAGATGGCAGATGGTTAGTCTTGACTGGTTTAGCCAAAATAAGTCAGCTTTCCTGACTACCACCTTAGTATTGTTAAAGTTTGTAGCATAGTACTGTATGAATCTTTGTCTATCCATATTTTGGGATTATTGATAAAAGATAATACTGCTATATTCCATACTAGCCAAGTTAACACATGTTCTGTTTATTCTTAACTTCACAGCTTCATTAGCTCCTCTTAATATGACATACCAATTGTTTATTAAAATTCTTCATTATTTACTTGCAGAAAGTTTATTCTCTCCTGGACCAGCACAGTTTACTAGTCTACAAGTTAAGTCAGAGAAGATGGTTTGACACATTGACTCCTTTCTGAAAAAGAGAAAAAGTAGGGTTAAAGCCCAGATAGTTTAATGTTTGCACCTTTCTCCACAGGAAAACACTAATGTTATCTTTTGCTAAGTAACTGTCAATTTATGACCAGGTGAGTTCTGAAAAGATGATACCTTGTACCTTCAGTAATGTAGTACTTCACAATTTGAAAATATGCTAAGTATTTAAATAGAAAGGTTTGAAAATAAACAATTTAAAGAAAATATATCTATAGGTAATTTATAATTAATACTATATGTTATATTCTGTGATTGATAACATTATGTCACCACAAACAAAATAATAAAGGTTGGGTAATTCTGCATTCTTAGAAACTTTACTGAAAACTATAAATCTGTTTACAGTCTTGTATAGATCACTGCAGCTAAGCAGAGCAGTTAGTCTTTGATGTGCTTCTAATTATGAAGGGTTTTAGGATTATGTCTTTAGGCAAAGATGCCTAGAGGTAGGAAGGTATAGATGAAAACTGACATAACACAGTAAAGAGAGGAGATACATTCATGCCAGCCTACTTTTGGCTCTACTTCACCTAAGTCAAACAATATAATGTAGGTAAACAGTTAACCACAATTTTAAATTGTTAGTTTGTAGAATTAACAACTTCTTTTTAGCTTAATTGTAGAAGAATTTTATATTAATAAATACAAGAACAAGTCTTTACTTTCATGCATGTATCATCTACTAGGTATAATTTTATCCACTTTTACAATGGTACAATGATTTTATAGTGAAAAAAGGCTTTTAGGGAAAGGATAACTCATTAGAAATCAGGCTTTTGAATTATTCTAAATGACATGGGAATGTAGTCAAAACATACCACCAAGTAACAAAAAGGAAGATAAATAAGTGATTTTAGTTTTCTTAAATATATGCATAATAAAAAGAAGAAATAAATTGACTCATATTATCAGTTATCTCTGGGTGATAATATGAGTAATCTTTACACTGTATTGTATTCTCTGAAGTTCTTCATTATGCAGAATAATCTTTGATACAGAATTTTCAAGTAGTAAGAGATAGCTACTTACAAAGCTACATCATCTTTATAGCATAGTATCTGAAAGATCATATATGGTAAGTATATAGATCATATAAAGATCATATATGGTAAGTATAAGTATGCTGGGAAATACAACATCTGGAAGAATTTCTTATGTAGATATTCAGATAGCCACATTATGTGCAGCAGGGAACTATTTTTGAGTAGGGTTTTAAAATTACTTTCATTTCTGTGCATATGAAGATTATATACAGGAAGCTGTTCTCCATTTTGTTTATTTTCTTCTTTAAAATACTATCCTTCAAATCTCATAGTAACAGATGAAATGGTAGCTGTCCCCCTAAATGGCTACTGCTTTTAGTTATAAGTGTTTTGCTGGGTGTATAGTTTCCAGACTTTCTTACAGTTAGGTGAAACTTTTATGACCAGGTTCTGTCCAATGCGATATGAACAGAAGTAATGTGTAACAACTCCTGGCTTATACTCTGAAGAAGAAAAGAGTATGCCCTCTTTGTTTTTCCTCCTTACAGGCGGGGATGCAAATCTTCAAAGATGCAAAGGTTATAACCTAGAGATAACAAAGCAACATGGTAGCGGAGCCTAGTGATCTGATACCAGCATGCCTTACCAGTCCTTCCCACCTCCCCAGATTTTTATCTGAGACAGAAATAATTTTATTTCTTAAATCACTGTGCTCTCTTGTTATAGCAGCCTGGAATGTTCCATGCCTAATACACTTACTGGCATTATACCGCCACCAACACATCATCATTCTACCCTAGCCATTTTGATCAACATAGTTTTAGAGGTCCTAGCCAGAGAAATCAGACAAGAAAAAGAAATAAAAGGCATTCAAATCATAAAGAAGCAAAACTGTCTCCTTTTGCAGCTGACACATTGTATGTAGAAAACTAAAGATGCCACCAAAAAAAACTGAATAAAAGTAATTCAGTAAAGTTGGAGGATACAAAATACACAAAAATCAGTTGCATTTCTGTATAATAGCAATGAATTATGGGAAAGAGAAATGAAGAAAGAAATCCCATTTACAATTGCATCAAAGAAATCTTAAAATAAATTAAACCACAGAAATATTTGTGTACTGAAAACTCTAAGACCTTGATGAAAGAAATGGAAAATGACACAAATAAATGGGAAAATAGCCCATCTTCATGGATTAGAATTAATATTGTTAAAATGACCATACTACCCAAAGCTATCTATAGAGTCAATGCAAACCCTATCAAAAATTCCAACGGCATTTTTCACAGAAATAGGAAAAACAATCTTAAATTCAGGTGGAACCACAAAAATTCTTGAATAGCCAAAGAAAGCCTGAGAAAGAACAAAGCTGGAGGCAACACACTTCCTGATTTCAAACTATACTATAAAGCTGCAGTAATCAAAGCAATATGGTACTGGCATAAAAACAGACATATAGACCAAAGGAATAGAATAGAGAACAAGAAATAAACCCACATATATTTGACAAGGGAGTCAAGAATACTCAATGGGGAAAGTCTTTTCAATGTTAATAGGAAAACTGGGTAACTGCATGCAGGAAAATGAAATTGATTCAAAATGGATTAAAGACACAAAAATTAGAACTGAAACCATAAAACTCCTAGAAGAAAACATAGGGGAAAAAGTTCCTTGACATTCATCTTGGCAATGATGTTTTTGAAATGACAACAAAAGCACAAGCAACAAAGGCAAAAATAATAAGCTTCTGCACAGCAAAAGAAACAGTAAGAAAAAAAATTGAAAATGCAATCTATAGAATGGGAGAAATTATTTGCAAACCTTATATCTGATCAGGATTAATATCCAGCATATACAAGGAACACATACAAGTAAATAATAAAAACTAAAATATTGCCAGATAACCTGAAGAGACATTTTTCTAAAGGAGACATAAAAGTGGTTAACATGTCTATGAAAACATGCTGAACACCATCTTTAGTATGGGAAAATGCAAATCAAAACCCCAGCGAGTTATAATCTCACATCTCTTAGAATGGCTAAGTTAGAATAATTTAATTTGAATGAATACCATGTTAACGTCAATAGCATTCAAAACCTCTGCTCCAATACAGCTGTGTTCCTGTCCCCCAACTTTATTAAAGTCACAAATTACATCTTTATACATTGTGCATCTAAGAGATTTATAATTAATTTATGCTTCTGTCTTTTAATTCCTGTTGAAAATAGAAAGTGGAGTAGAAACAAAAATTACAATAATTTTTATATTTGCCCGTATATTTATCTTTACATTCTGCATATGGCTTTGAGTTACTATCTAGGAACCTTTCATTTCAGTCTGTAGAACTCCTTTTAACATTTCTCTTAGGGCAGGTCTAGTGGTAGTGAACTCCCTCAGCTTTTGTTTATCTATGAATATCTACATTTCTGCCTCATTTTTGAGGGAAAGTTTCACTGGATACAGAATACTCCATTAACTTTTTTTTTTTCTTTCAGTACTTTAAGTATGTCATCTTATTGCCTCAGGCCTCCAAGGTTGTTTTTGGCTTTTGATAGTTTCATTATAATTTGTCCTAGCATGGGTCTCTTTTGGTTGATTATACTCGGAGTATGTAGAGCTTGGATATATAGACTCATGCCTTTCCTCAAATTTGGTAAGTTTTTAGTCATTATTTCTTCAAATAACCTTTTTGCCCCTTTCTCACCTCTTCTGGGATTCCCATAACGTGTTTGTATGCTTGATGGTGTCCCATATGTCCTTTAGGCTCTTTTCACTTAATTGTTTTTCCTTTTGCTCCTCAGACTCAGTAATTTCAAATGTATTGTAAAGTTTGCTGATTCTTTCTTCTGCCTTCTCAATATTATGAGTGGGAGTAAGCCTAGTTTTCTGGAACAAAAGTGGAGTAGAACATTCATCTAAGATGTTCACCTCTTAATAGTTACTGTTATTAAATGGTATTTTTATCAAGAAATAGTAATGAAGGCCAAAGGATAAGGCCTGAAAAAAAAAAGCTGAGAAATGGGGAATAACAGGGGTTCAGTGAAGAAAGATATTTATGAGAAATGACACAGGGCTCAAAGGAGGAACACTAACCAAGCCCTCTGGCTAGGAATTGCCAGCTGGTCACAGTAACCTGATGAAAAAAATACACAGGGCACAGTATGCATTTGGTGAAGAGTGGAATTTCTTCATTTTTCTGAGGTTTTGTGGTAATCTCTTCATATTCCTTTTCACCCTTAGTAACTTTAAATAGCTTTACAATGTGAAACTTGCCTTATACCCTGGTGGAAAAAGCAGGGCACATTACAACTAAGGATAATTTCCATAAAATTTGCTATGAATTAACCTCCTCCTGTGTTTCTAAATGGCTAGAAGCATAGGGAGGGAGGATATTTGTATCCTTATAATATAATGTCATAATTCCTATTAACATGGTTTCATCATTCAGTTAAAAGTGACTTCTCATCACAAATATAAATTGTCCTTAACTCATAGAATTACGATAAGGATTAAATTAGTTAATATCTGTAACTCAGAATAGTGCTGACCCCACATTAAGCATTCAGTAAATATTAGCTATTATTATTAGGACACACATTACTATGCTTAGCAAGCCACAAATTTCTCTTATCTAATACTGGATTAATACTGAGTATTTCTTATCTATTAGGAATGGAGGTTTGAAAGTGGTCTATGCATCCTTTGGGTTTGGTCAATTTGGAACTCTTTCAAGGTTGAGGAGGGAGAATGAAATCATCTTTCTGGTAAGCAACTGTCAGCTTTGGTATTCAGATTTAGAACTAGCCTGTATGGCTTTGAGTCAGTACCACCCTGAAAACTGGGATCTCCGGTGGTGATGTTAGAGAGAAGCTGACAATTGCTCCCTTTGGCTCCAAACAGTATTACATAAACAAAGGACAAGATGATCTATCAGTGGAGATGTTATAATATTTTCAAGCAACTTACAAAGCGGAAACCTTATTAAAACTTTGTTGTTTTATAGAAGTTCCACAAAGAAAATGAATTCTATTATAATTCAGAGCATCCTCTTCCTAAGTGAGGAATAGGAAATACCAGGAAGAATAGGAATTGGGATGTCTGAGGATTAATATTTCTAGATTTAGTCACATTAGGATAAATTGAGTCTAGAACAAAGCTCATTTTGGTATTACAGTTTTTAAAGACTATCATTTTTCTGTATTATAAAGTTTTAGTTGGATCTTTAGATTCAGTTTACGCTTCTGACGTGTCTTCAGAAGACTCACTGTAAAATGACTCTAGTGGCTTCTAAATTAAAAAAAAAATTACCCACCAAACAAAATTCCATGTGAAGTAGTCTGATAGAGGAGGGAATTCTTTTGAGATATGATGTCTGTATATATAAATAAAGGATTATATAAGTTCCTGTGTTGGTTAATTTTAATAACAGCACTGATAATAAACTTTTCCTCAAAATCTTATGAAAAGTACAATTTTTACTTTTTGCTAAATAGTTATTAATGACTGGTTATTAACTTATATAACACAGTTTCAACTTAAATATCCATATTTTACTATTTACCTAGCTTAATTCTTAAAAAAAAAGCACTGTCTTTACAAAGAAAGTAACTCAAATTAATCAACCATGACTTACAAATGTAAACAAATGATACTAGATAAGTATTGATTAAAACAAAAAGCACTTAAGAAAACCAGCATTAATTCTTACCAACTCCAGAGGTTATTGATTCTGCATCAATGTCGCTAGCTCTCTTTCTTGCCACTTCAGCTAGTGCCATTTCACCTTTATCTAGTGCAAGGTAATGGATGTCCTTTGGAAATAAAGCAGAATAAAAGATTAATCCAAAATGAACCTTGGTAAAGTTACAAAGGAGATTTTGAAAAAAAGAACTTATTGTTCAAATTACAAAACCGACATGGTTGATGAATATTCTTTTTTGTATTTTAATTTTTCTCAGCTTTCTTTTCTAGTACAACCAAATTTTCTTGACTTGCAGATCTCAGCTATAACTAATGGCAGTTATTAAAATAAATTATTGTAAGTCTTTAGGGAAAAAGGTAAGCTTTTAAATACTATTACACAAATTTGTCTCTTATATTGTGCCTAGCACATTATTACTTTTCTAATATTGTTAATACTGCTGTTATTTTGAACTCATTCAGTCAATGAATAATCAGTGCTTATTAAGTGGTAGGCACTGTTCTGGAGATCAGTTACAGTACCATGTCTCAACAAGCGTTGAGCCGAGGAGGAAGACCACTGTAAACAGTTGATAACATAACAATGTGATAGGTTTTATGGCAGAGTGCTATGGAACCAAAGAATAGGAAATGATTATTGATATAAGTCTTGAAGGATAGTAAGAGTTATACTGGGAGGTAAAATGGAGAAAAGGCAACAGAGAATGATATCTGGTGCATATTTTTAGAGATGCTTGAGAAAGCACAGTAGTGTCAGGCAATGGCAGGTCTTTAGGGAAGGAATGTTGGATGTGTGGGAGAATGCAGTGGAAAATAATTCTCAACAAGTAGGTAGAGCCACTAAAAAGGAATTAGAACGCTTTTTGGTAAACAAAATACTTGTTGGAATAAAAATGGAAAAAGAATATCAACATCAAGTTTTTAATGATGAAATATAAATGGTCTAAAATCACGAGAAGATACTTTACCTTCTTAATATTCAAATAAATGCAAGTTGAAAAATGTAATTTCAAATTGGATAAGTTTTTTAAAGTTAATACTTACTGGCTGCAAAGTTTGGGGGGAAATAGGCACTTACATTTACTGGGAACGTAAGACTTTATAAAGCAGGGATTGGTAAACTATGGCCTATGGGTCAAATATAGCCTGCCTTATAATCCTTGAGAATAATTTTTAAATGATTGGAAATACTGTGCTCAGCCACTCAACTTTGAATGGCTTTAGAATTAGTTTATGTTACAGACTTGAAATGTGTCAGCCTAAAACTACAAGCAAAACAGGACTTACATATTTCCAGTCAAGATGGTGGAGTAGTAGGACCACAAGCTCGCCTCTCCTAGTGACTACAACAAAACCACAAACAACTGCTAAACAGCCATAAAGAAAAAAGATTGGAGCCTAGCAAAAAAAAGATCTGCTTCAACTGGAAACACAGAGGGAACCACAGCAGGAAGGTAGGAGGGGTGTGCTCGTGATATAATTGGGCCCCATACCCCCAGGTAGGCAACCCACAAGCAGAAGAACAATTAAGTTGCAGAGGCTCTCCCACAGAAGTGAGAGTTCTGAGCACCTCGTCAGGCTCCCCAGCACAGAGTTCTGGCATTGGGAGGAGGAGATCCCAGGACATTTGGTTTTGCAGGCCAGTGGGGCTTAACTTCAGGAGCCCCACAGGACTAGGGGAGAGACTTCATTCTCTTGGAAAGTGTGCACAGGATCTCATGTGCACTGGGTCCAGGGGTAGAGACAGTGATTATGTAGGAACCTGGATCAGACTGTTTGCTGGGTTTGGAAGTTCTCCTGAGGAGAAAGGGGGCGGCTGTGGCTCACCCAGGGGACATAAAAGCTGGTGGTGGACATTCCAGAAGTGTTCATCTACATGAGCTTTCCTGGAGCCTGACATCTTGATTGGGTCATTAGCATCAAGACCCAGCCCCACTCAACAGCCTGTAGGCTTAAGGGCTGGGAAGCCTCAGGCTGAACAACATACTGGTTGGGAACATATCCCCATCCATAAACAGACTTCCTGAGCCTCTAGACAAGGC